ACATATAAGTAAAGCATAATGCTTTAGGCAGGAATTAATTCTTTTAGCGACAAAAAAGTAATTAGTAGCCAAAAAGTATAGAATTGGCGACTAAAAAATAGCTTTAGTCGCCAAAGGTGGTCTCCTATTTTTTTTAGTAAATAATTTATTTTTTACATAAATTATATTAAATAAAAATAATTATTTATATATATATAGTTTTGTATTAATGCCGGTCAATATACTATATAAATAATATATGTTGTATTTATATTCATGTGATGTTGTAGTGGCATAGTGGAGAGAGTGTGTTGCTAAAGGTTTAGAATGAGGGAGGTTGGTGGTTCGAAACTTGGGAACAGCAGAGGGTAATTTTTTTTTTTTTTTTTTCTGAAATATGCTTTTGGCGACTAAAATGTGTGGTCGCCAAAAACTTGACTATTGGCGACGAAAAAAATAGTCGGCAAATGTATAAATAATAAAAAAATTAATTCACTATTGGCGACTAAAAGATTAGTCGCTAAATGTATAATTTTCAAAAATGTAATTGACTATTGGTGACAAAAGCTTTGGTCGCTAAAGACCTGTTTTTTGCCGACAAAAACTTTTTTAGTCGCCAATACCTCCAACGACCATGTATTCGCAACAAAACCGGCGACTAAAATATTTAGTCGGGAAAAGTGAAAAGTCGACTTTTGGTGACTAAAAATGGACTCTTGGCGACTAAAAATTTAGTCGCCAAAGGTGCTTTTCTTGTAGTGACCATCCGTAAGAGTGTAGTGAAGCAAAATAGTTGTCTGAGTAATTTGGGGGGGGGCGTGTGTTGGGTGTCATGTTTTCGAATAGCACACTAAAGGATTTATTACTAACCTTTTGTGAGTTGGCGTCCGTTACGTGTTACATAGGCCAGTGTAAGAGTGTCACATTTGAATGAAGTTTACCTAAGGGTTTTTTACTGCATTCCTTGGGTTGGCACTGGACAGGTGCCATATACATGCCTGGCCTATGTGTTCCAACCCATTACGTGATACCCATTTCCCCAAAATTTCCGAAATTGAGTGCTAGAAAATGTGTAATGCTAAAAATCCCTAGAATGAAGCAATTCCCTGTCCTCTATGATTGTTTCTTTCATATGTGATTCAAGGGAAATCGTAAGAGATTTCATGAATCATTTGTTGGATTACATTGATAAGGGCACATATTCATTGTGTTGGTGTAACGATCTGAATAGAGGTGAATGACGACGAAGTTGTGGTGTTACTGTCTCTGATCGCCTATGCATACCTTGCATCAATGGCAACAAGAGGTAAGCGCCATCACATTTTTATTTGTAGTCATGTTTTTGGGTTTGTTCGTATTCTAGGGTTTTTATGTGTTGTCGATTGTGAACTAATGATGTGGCAGTGGTTTATGATTATCATGTTGCATTTGTGTCTTGTGGGGGAGGGTTTTGGGGTGTGACATACAACATGTATTTGTTTCCCATTGTTGGTGTTACGTGTCATTCGGTGTTGATATATAAATATATATATTTTTTGTTGTTGCCATAATGTAGTATGTATGTGTGATGATGTGTGAACTATAGTGGTAGTAGTTTAATTCACAGTAAATACATGTGTTGTGGTCCTTGAATGTGACCTTGTTCCGAGATAGGTTTTCACTGCTACCATGTGTACATGTGTCTTTTTGGTCATTACAATGTTTACTTTAGATGCGTGTAGTTAATGTGATAATGTTTACGTGCGTGCCTGTACGTGCTAGTGCATTTGTTTTGTAATAATGAACATACTTTACATAGTTCACTGTGTGTCGCATTAATTATATATAACCGAGTGCCTTTTTTTAATGTGTCCATATTTTTTTATGCGTTAACCGTGTGGTTCGTTAGGGTGTATGATTATGCATATGCTTATAATGTGATCACCCTTTTCATTTTGTTGTGTAAAAATGTAATTGCCATAGTTTGCATAAATGACGCAGACTGAGTTGTTGACATATTTTTTGGATTTATGTGTATGTTTGTGGGACTTAATCATACATGGTCAGCTGGTGTGTGTGTCGTTGATGTATTTTTTGTTATTCGGACCGAATTGTGATTTTAATGGCAATGCAAATGCCAATAAGAAAATGAGTTCGTGGACACGTTCATGTAAATGGAAATGCCATGAGGATGCAAGGATGTCAAAGGCAAACAAAATGCAGGGTCTCATCTTATTCAAACAAACTAAACTCATTAATCCTATTGTCGGGTACCAAGTTATAAAGCCCGCCATCAATCCGTCACGAAAATTAATTCAACCCTTATATTTGAATGCTATGTTTGTTTTGAGTTTTCAAATCATAATTTTAAATCAATTTCAAAATACATTTTGAATTTTTGGTCTACCCGGTCGTCTGCTCAGACATCCTCCCGGATGTCCAGTTGATTGATCGGAATAGAACAAATTTTACTTATTTAATTATTTTTTTCAAATGCCAATTGCCACCTGTTATTTGGGAAAAAAGAATTTATATTTGTTTTTGATATTTTTCAAATATACAAATTATTTTTTTAGACTAAAATGACAAATTATTTTTCTGAATTGAATTTTAAAAAGAGTTTGGTTATGAATTTTGAATAGAGTTTTGAGTTGTATGTTTGGTTATAAGTTGTAAGTTTTTGAATTAAGTTTCACACTTTATAAACTCATAACTAAACAACTTTTCTCATTTCATATGTCACATTAAAAATTCAAAACTCAATTCAAAACTTTTTTCAAAACTCATAACCAAAC